ATGCAGATTTGTGTGCAACATAAAGGGGATGTAGATAAAAGCTGGTTTTCTGCTAAATGGAGAAAAAAAAGCTTTGGAGAAAACAATGTGAACTGTGCTTCAACTGGACCCCTCAATGATTCAGTGTTTCTCTATTCCTCCTCTTTGTATCCTTTCAAATGATTGTATACCACTTTTTTTTTTTTAGTTTTTGTTGCGATTGGCGAGACTTTATGATTGTTTAGTTTCTGTCAACTTATTACTTTTTATATTAAAAAACACTCCTGTCAACTAATAAGCTGGGTACAAGGTACTTTATGACAGTTATTGTTTTATTATTATTTTTGTTTTTCTATTTAAAGTCACTGCTCATTAACTAAAAAGGAGATGTGTGGTTTCCAGAAGATGTATTTAATACCCAGGCAGCTGTGGGACGGGTCAGGTCCGAGCCGGGCCGGGATCGTGAGAACAGGGCCGAGCTGGTCCACGAGCCCTGAGCGCTGCGGCCGGTTTGTTTGGGATTGGAGACGCGCTGGTAGATTAGATCCKTCTCAGCATGTGAAGCTTGACATTACTAAAGATAACAGCATGAGAAAACCGTTTAGTGCACATACCTCGGCTCAAACCTATAGGGAATGATTTCATCRAATGAGGAAAATAAACATTTCACTCAGTGGCTCTGCGCTGCGTGTCCTGCATGTTTACACTTAAGCTGTAGAGAGAGAATTAAAAAAAAAGAAAGACAATTAGAGCTTGTTTATCATAAGAGTTTTATCCGTTTTGCCAAACTAACAGATCTCAGGCCCTTTTCTTTCTTTTCTTCTTTCTTTTTTTTTTTTTGTTGAAGTATCACCCAGCTGTGTGACGCTGTTGAACCCATCAGTCGTTCCAATATTAGCTCGTCTTTTCTTTTTCTCTCCTTTTTTTAAATCCCCMAAAAAAATGCATTTGTGTTTTTATGTTTGCTTTACTGCAAATGCTTTGTAATAAGTATGAAATAGTAAAAAAAAWGRAAAAAAAACTGCTGTATGTATAATAGCAAACTGCTGCAAATGTATTTTACTTAGTAATCCTTGCTTTACAACAAAATGAAATAAGAAAAAAAAAACTTCCATCATCCACATCTGGGTAAATGGGGTGGGGGGGGGTGTCTTGGGATTATTCCAGATTTTGGATTTTAAAATGTATTTAAATAATTAAAAAAAGAAAGAAAGACAGACTTTTCTCTGTTAACAGTGACCTGAGCATTTTGTACAGATGATTTCCTCGCTCTGTTTGTGTTTAAGCTGTTTTTTTGATACTTCCTTTGACGGTCTGACCGCCGCCGTCTGCTGCGCCGCGTTAAAGATTACCTGCTCGCTGCTAAAGGCCAGACAGGTGGATTTCCTCCTAAAGACGCAGATATGTTGCATGACTAATCCCAGGGTGGCAGAGATTATGGAGGGTGGGATGGGGTGGTGTGTGGGGGGGGGTAAGTGATCTGTATTCAGAATAATTTAAGGGTGTATCAATCTAATGATATTTTATATGAAATTAATAGGAAAAAAGGAGAAAAATATGCAGTGCCAAGGTGTAAAGAATATTGTTTAAATCTTTTTTTAATGAGAATTTTTTTGCCCGCCTCATAGATGTATCCTGTGTATACTTTTTTTTTTTTGACATCTTTTTCCTGAAGCGGTCACTTTTAATAAGTCAACAGGCGGGCCTCACAAACTGCCAGCAGATCCCACAAAAGAACTCGCACACTAAAAATATCATGTTAACATCTGTCACCGACCATCCCGCCTGCCGTCGCAGCACACTGGGTGGGGGCTGCAGTCCAGGGGTGCTCTCATCCAGCAGAAGCTTTTCTTTCTCCGTTTTTTTTATTACTATTTTTCTACTTTCCTTTAAAACAATGTACTCTGTGTTTTTTCCCCTCCTGTTCTGAATTTTTTTTATAGAGAAATATGATTACTCTTCACTTCCATTAGTCTGTAACCTCATCCTTCCTCGTCTGTCGGATGCAGACCACTCTTCTGTCGGTGGCCGTGACTGACGTGAGCATTCTAAACATGCAATAAAATGCTGGTTGTTCAAACTCTTTCCTTTCAGCTCTGTGTTTGTACGAGTCCACGTTGCTTCTCACGTTAGCGAGTGCAGGAAGTCAAACGTGCAGCTAAAACAGAGAGAATAAATAATGGAAATCAGTGGGATCATAGTGAAACACAAGACAAACTTTGTATCCTTTTAGAGCTCAGGAACATTCAMAGTTTAAACAGGTCACAGGAAGTCAGATTTCACATGTCTGAACTGGCATTTTGATTTTTACATTTTTTTTATTCATTCATTTTTACCAGACGGTGTTCCATCATGACTACTTTTAAACTGTTCATTCGACAACATTWGTTCAAACTTTTTCTGACTCCCACAGAACTGTCAACATGTTGGTCTTCCTTCACCCAGTGTCTCTCACTGTGATAAAACTTAAAGCTTCCTCTCACATTCCACAGATTTAACCATGTTTTAGTTTAGAAATATTGTAGAGTGCTTTTAAATGGACTTATCTCCATAAAACAAAAGAAATATTTAAAATCTGATTTATAATTTTTGCACAAACAGCTGTTTAAGGCCTGTTTTTATTCTGGTTCTGTTTGCCTCTCATTAACTTGGCAGTCAGGGAGTGACAGACACAGATGTGTTGTTACTATGGAGATCATTGTGAACAACTCTTTTAAACAGGATTCTCAATTTATTTATCAAAATATAATCTTTTTTTTTTTTTTTTTTTTTTTTTTTTGCGGTTGATGTTGCTGCTCTGGCACATTTTAAAATTTCCAAAACAATTTTCTGTTTTACAAAATAAACTGTTTAACAGAACAAACAGAAGCAGTTTGAACACATCTGAAACTTATTGACTCTTTCAATCCAGTGTTTAACATCTGAGTGTTAAATCATTTTTTAAAAATCTTTAAATTTATTACTAAAAAAATTCAAATTATGTTGAAAATGAGCAGTTTTCACTTCAATATTCCTCTTGGTGCTGTTTTCATCCTTTCAGGTTTTTGTGTTTGTCATCTGCATAAAGACGCTCCGTCCAACCTTAAACTTTAAATTATGTCGTAATTAAAAAAGAGACAGTTAAACTGTCTTTTTCTTAACAGCAATTTAGGCTGCTGCGTTTGAAAAGCTGTAAATTGTGACGGCATTAAAATTCCAGGAATAATAGCGACGTGGAGTTGGGAGTTGATGCTGACGTTTTACGACAGAGGTGAGGGTCACGCTGGCCACTAAACAGGAGGCAGAGATCAACTCCGAGCTCTTTTAATCTTGTGAAACAA